AGCGAGAGAGCGAGAGAGCGAGAGAGCGAGAGAGGAGCGAGAGCGAGAGCGAGAGCGAGAGCGAGAGCGAGAGCGAGAGAGAGAGAGAGAGCGAGAGAGCGAGAGAGCGAGAGAGAGAGAGAAAGAGCACACGCACACTGATTGCTACGCCGCTGCAGCAGAAGGCTTCTTGGTGATCCATGGCTCATGTGTTGCTCATGTTATTTTAACCCTGATACCAACCTTTACCCTAACGTTGACCTCGACCGTAAATGTAATCTTCTCTACCCCTCTGATCTTAACATTAACCCTAACCCTAATGGTAACCTTGACTTTGACCCTAGCCGTAGCCATACCCACTAACACCGCTGACCCTGATCCTAACGATTCATGTATCATTAATCATTGCAACGACAGTGCTAACCATAAATAGACGCATTCGCCTTCGTCGAGATATATATTTCCTTCGTCTCCAAATATATCTTCCTGAAATCCGATTGCATTTTAAAGTCAGATGACTTCAACGATGCAAGAGTCCGTTGTGTGAGTGCGTTTGCGTGTGTGTGTGTACGTACGTGCGTGCGTGTGTGTGTGTGTGTGTGCATCGCAAATCTCATCGGCTTTTAAAGCCAGAGTACTAGTGCTTGAAGCCTTGAAATCAGGAACGTTTTACTAAGAGTTTGAGAGAGTCGATAAAAGGGAGAGAGAAGAAGTGGGTTCGCGCGAAAATGTGAAATAGTCACGCTCGCTGCTTTTACTCACGCCAGTACTGCGTGCAAACTGATTTGTGAGGAGAAATAGCAGCTGTGAGATTGGCAGTTTTGAAATCGCATTCTCGGACGGGTCGCGATGGGATGCGATCTCGTTGCATTCTCATTTTTTCGTGATCGATCTTTTCCCATTGAGCGTCTCGATTTTCTTTTGCATCTTATAGAATGTGCAAACGGAGCAGCACGCGTGATCATGGTGCTTACCGTGCTCACCGTCTTTCACTTCCTTCGTAAATTTAACGATCGTGAATGTTGTTCGCTTGCGATATTCGACTGTTTGGTATTCTAGTATCTATCATCTATCTGCTGACTCTTTACAAAATTTGCATTCGCATTTTCTCGTAATTATTTTTTCCTTCCAGTAATTTTGACTGTATGTTATTCAGCAATGTGGTGATCAACTAGGCATGCTGATGGAAATTCCTGATGGAGATTAAGTTTACAAGTGCAAAAAGTATTACCGTGGGCCACTTCTTCTCTCTCCCTTTTATCGACTCTCTCAGACTCTTAGTAAAACGTTTCTGATTTCAAGCACTAGTACTCTGGCTTTAAAAGCCGATGAGATTTGCGATGCACACACACACACGCACGCACGTACGTACACACACACACACGCAAACGCACTCACACAACGGACTCTTGCATCGTTGAAGTCATCTGACTTTCAAATGCAATAGGATTTCAGGAAGATATATTTGGAGACACAAAGGAAATATATATCTTGCAACGACAGTGCTAACCGTAAATAGATGCATTCGTCTTCGTCGAGATATATATTTCCTTCGTGTCTCCAAATATATCTTCCTGAAATCCGATTGCATTTTAAAGTCAGATGACTTCAACGATGCAAGGGTCCGTTGTGTGAGTGCGTTTGCGTGTGTGTGTGTGTGTGTACGTACGTGCGTGCGTGCGTGTGTGTGTGTGTGTGCATTGCAAATCTCATCGGCTTTTAAAGCCAGAGTACTAGTGCTTGAAATCAGGAACGTTTTACTAAAAGTCTGAGAGAGTCGATAAAAGGGAGAAGGAAGAAGTGGGTTCGCGCAAAAATGTTAAATAGTCACGCTCACTGCTTTTACTCATGCCAGGCAGCACTGCGTGCAAACTGATTTGTGAGGAGAAATAGCAGCTGTGAGATTGGCAGTTTTGAAATCGCATTCTCGGACGGGTCGCGATGGGATGCATCTCGTTGCATTCTCATTTTTCCGCGATCGATCTTTTTCCATTGAGCATCTCGTTTTTTTATTTGCATCTTATACTTGCGGACTTTGTATGATCACTTGGCACTTTGTTTCTCACCGGACGCACTCTTGTTTGTTTTCGTTGCAGAAGCACATTAGTACGCTGAATCAACTGCAGGAGGAGCTGCGCACACAGCACCGGCTGAACCGCCACCTGGCGGAGAACGTCGGCGACCCGGGCCGCTCGATGGCCGCCCTCGCCAACCTGGACACCCTGCGCACGGAGCACGCCTCCCAGGTACGTCACGCTAAAGCAGATCCTCTGTGTTTAGCCGCGTGCCTGCGCGGATCATCTGTGCTTGGTTACATGCAAGACCTGATTCTCTGTACTCAGTTAGTTCCATGTTAGAAAGGGCCCTTTGTGCTCGGTTCCCTTCTAGAGTTCTCACCCTCAGTGAGAGATGGATCAGACAGGTGTATGTAGATGAGGTTCGTAGGTGTTTGCCTCAAACAAAAGTGGGCCGTGCACGTTGTTCCATGCTCGTGTGTTCCGAATTGCAGAGCAATGTGCTTGGTTACTTGCAAGAGTGGATCCTCTGTTCTTGGTTAAATGCAAGAGTGGATCCTCTGTTCTTGGTTATATGCAAGAGTGGATCTTCTGTGCTTGGTTACATGCAAGAGTGGATCCTCTGTTCTTGGTTAAATGCAAGAGTGGATCCTCTGTTCTTGGTTATATGCAAGAGTGGATCTTCTGTGCTTGGTTACATGCAAGAGTGGATCCTCTGTTCTTGGTTACATGCAAGAGTGGATCCTCTGTCCTCTGTTACATGCAAGTGTGGATCCTCTGTTCTTGGTTATATGCAAGAGTGGATCTTCTGTGCTTGGTTACATGCAAAAGTGGATCCTCTGTTCTTGGTTATATGCAAGAGTGGATCTTCTGTGCTTGGTTAAGTGCAAGAGTGGATCCTCTGTGCTTGGTTACATGCAAGAGTGGATCCTCTGTGCTTGGTTACATGCAAGAGTGGATCCTCTGTTCTTGGTTACATGCAAGAGTGGATCCTCTGTT